CCTGCAAGGGCAGGGCCATGCCCCCAGCCTCCCTGACTCAGCATCCCCTCCCCCCCCATGGCCAGAGCTCCTTGCAGCCCTGCCAGAAGCACAGCACCCTGCCCACCACCCTGTCTAGGGTCCCCTCTGCCCACCGCCTTCACATCCCTACTCAGAGTTCGGACATTCGCCCACTTGGCACACCCCTCCACTGGGAGCGTGTGTTAGCTTGTTACTCAGCAGCACTCTGTAGTCCTTGCCCCATCCGGTATGTGAAAGGAATCTTGGAAATCCCTGAAAGTCCGATTTACGGTCTTTATTCCTAGGTGTACGACATTGCATTGTGTGGTACTGAATGAGGAACATCCCTACTCAGAGTTCGGACATTCGCCCACTTGGCACACCCCTCCACTGGGAGCGTGTGTTAGCTTGTTACTCAGCAGCACTCTGTAGTCCTTGCCCCATCCGGTATGTGAAAGGAATCTTGGAAATCCCTGAAAGTCCGATTTACGGTCTTTATTCCTAGGTGTACGACATTGCATTGTGTGGTACTGAATGAGGAATCAGAGCTTTCATATCTATTTTCAATTGTCACATTGGGAATGTTAATTCATTGCTGAATGACTGTACAACCCTAGTAACATGGGTGTTTCACCTCTTGAACATTGTAACTAATATTTATACAACATGGGCCGTTTCTCAATATTATCTGCTCTACTGAGGTACAGCAGTTTTGTTAGTTTATTTAGGAGTGGGGGTATACCTGAGGACCTCTAAGCGTTTTACAATCATTAATGAACTCTTACAATTCCCCTGTGAGTAAGTAATCATCTTTCTTCTAATGGTAGTTCAGAGAACACTTTTGCAGATGCTCTTTTATTTCCTCTTTACTATAGCACCTCTAGTAACCAAACTGTATCTTAGCAGATCTGTCTAGCACACTAGACAAATAGAATTATAGCAGAGATCCACAAAATATGTATGAAAGAGACATTTATTCAAACAGGACTATTTATCGCAACACCAACTCCAAGATCTGAATAGAATCTTAGCGAACACCTGAACAATCTCAAATTTCCTAAGTCCCAAACTGAAGTCTCCCTCAGCCCTTCTGACATGTCCTCACCTTCATAGGACCAATTGTTGTTAAAGGTTTGTGTTAAAACCTGTATCTCCTGCAAAAGGATTGAATCAGCCTGAGAGGAAGTTTCTCCTTCATCATCTTCCTCCAAGATCTCCTCTTCCTCTTCAGGATCTGGGGAATTCTGCATCATCTCCTCAATTTCTTCAATTACCTGATAAGGTGATATGAATGTCAGTCACTGTGCTATATTCTAATGACCAGTGGCTGGATTCGGCACCAACAAGTCATTGCTGAGACTATGTAAATAACACACTTTAAGAACAAGAGCTGGAGAGCTTCTGCATTTAGAACTATAAAGCGCATTCACTGCATTTTTCCACTTCCGATATTACTATGTAAGCAGTGATCAGCACTATTTGTGAACATACAAGTATGCTGTGCAAGCAGACCAGGACACCCTTCGGAATATGGAAACGCAGCCCGAGAGAAGCCAATTGTAGAAATCAAGAAAAGATCGAAGTCACATCTGGCGTTAACTAATGACTCACAGTTGCACCATACCCTGGGGCACAGGGCCAGAATAGGCTCTATGGACTAAAACATATCAAAAGATGGGTGCAAAACTGTAGGGTCGGGTCTTTCATTTCTACAGCCATCCTTCAGGCGCATCAGTGCCTATGACACGACCCAGCTCTCCTCCTCGTCCTAGATCACTTGGCCAGTGGACTAGCCTGAACAACTGAGGATGGTAATTATATCCCAATCGTAGCAGTGTGTGTGTGGGAGGGGAGAGAGTGAATAATTTTAGTAGGGAGGAACAGGAAATGAATTCTGCCTTCCCAGTAAATGCGGCACATTGCCTTATTCCCCCAAACAAGGTTCTGCTAGTTCTGTTTCTCTCAGGCTATGTTTACACTACACAGTTTTTGTACAAAAACTCGTGGCACATTCACACCTCAAGCACGTTTTTGAGCAAGTAAAACTAAAGAGCAGAGGGGTTTTTGCAGTGCAGGTATTTCTCCATCTATGCGGAATAACTCCTTTTTGTGCAAGAGTTCTTGCGCAAAAAATTGTGTGGGGACAGGAAAGAGGGTTTTTTTGCGCAACAAGAAGCAATCGAAAAAGGCACAGGTGCCCTAGTGGCCATTCTGCAAATAGCAATCCGCTTCCTTTCGAGAGAGCGTCCATGCAGTCTGGACACGCTCTTGCTCAAGATGTTTTTGTGGAAGATTTCTTCCAATAAAAGCTTTTTGTACAAGAAGCCTGCAGTGTAGACATAGCCTAAGAGTAACAGTGCCCCGCTGCGACCGCCCTGCTCAGCGCTTCCAGCTCTGATGCTCTCCGGGTGCACCGCACTTGAAGAGGCCTGGGAAAGTCTGAATTTCCTCTCCTGTGTGGCCCACGTGGTGAGCAGACCTCGGAGATGGCAGTGCTCCTCAGCAACACACTTAAGCGTGAGTGCCCAGGTCACAAACGACAACCAGCATGGAGCGTGCAGGAGATCCTGGACCTCGTTGCCACTTGAGGAGAGGAACCTGTAGAGGCAGAGCTGCGAAGCACCAGAAGAAATACTGACATCCCAGCCCAGATCACACAGGGCATGGTGGACAAAGGCTGCACCAAGGGCCCCCAGCAATGTCCCCTGGAAATAAAGGAGTAGAGGCAGGCACACCAGAAACCAAAGGAGGCAAATGGATGACCTGGGTCACGGCTGCCAGCATGCTGCCTCTGGGGGGGACCAGACCCATTCCCCAGCCCAGTCCATGGATACCTCCCAAGACACTGCCCAGGCAGCTTTGGGCAGCGGCGCGGATGAGGAATGGGAGAAGGAGGAGAATGGCTGGCAGGTGAGTGGAAGATGCGATCTCACCGACAGCCAGGACCTCTTTTAATCTTTTAATCTGCTGGTGAGCTCCCATTTCTCACCATGCCACAAGTGGGCTCAGGAGGCAATGGAGCGTGATCTGTGGGGCTTCCTGGGACAGTTGGTTAACCGGCCTAGATACAGAGCCGCCGTGCTCCCCGCACGTCTCCATAAAGCTCTCACAGTGGAACTCTTCCATCCTTCTCACAAGGTACCTGGGGAGGCTGCCTTACTCCACCCTCCATGGTAGGGCACCTTCCCACGCCAAGCCAAGTGAGCGGTGTGGGGTCATTGCAGCATGAGGCCCAGGTATCTGGGCACATTCAGTGAGCACCGCTCCCTAGCCCTAGCTCTCTGTGATCTGGAGACGACGGAGATTGCGCATGGCAGCCTGGATGAAGCAGGAGAAGCTGTTAACTGACACCGCAGTGGTAAACCTCCGTTAACTGATCCCCAGTGAAGCCACAGCCTCCCTCCACCCTGGAATTTTCCACATGAGCCTCTGCTCTTCAGCCCTGCCCAGACCCCAGAGATGCAGGAGCAAGGGGTAGGCTGGGTCTCCAAGGATCACTAATGGCATTTCTACACTGCTGAGGGCAATATTCCAGTCTGGGAAGAAAGTTCCAGCTTGCAGCTTTCTGAAGAGACAGGAGTTCCTGAAGATGCACACATTTTGCGGCCCTTGGTCTTTGCCTCTAGCTGCACAAGTGTGCAATTCTAGGAGTCTGTGCCTGTTTCCTGGGACAAGAATTGGCGTTCCACCATCAGCATGCCCAACTGCCTCCAGCCCGTGCCAATTTCTCCTCCCGTGGGCTTCTGCATGTCTGTACCTATGGCCACCTTGCACAGGCAGCTCCTAACTAGGCTCAAGGGTTTGCAATGCTTATCACAGCAACGTGCTTGCAATGCTGTGCCACCTGTGTGGATAACCAGGGGGAAAGGGCACAAAGTGATTGTCCTTGGTGCTGCTGCTTTCAAGGAGGGAGGGAGGAGGTAAGTGCATCATGGGAGGCTGATGACGTACCCAGAACCATCCACTGAAAATTTTTTATCCCATCAGGCATTGGGGTGCTAACTCAGAATTCAAATGGGCAGCAGCAACTACAGGCTGGCTGCCTAGAGTGCATCGCTGTAAGGGCTGATGGTAGCCACGGTAGTCGGGATGCACTTCGACTGAATGTGCTTAGGCAGGACATACACCCCTGACTTTATAAAATCGGATGCTAAATGTCAACCTAATTCTGCAGTCGACATACCCTTTATGTTTATTTCCAAGGGCCACACCTTCCTTGCGCCATCACCGGGACAATGACCAGCTCCAGAAGAGCGCGGTTACGTTTGCGTTGTACTAGTGGCATAGTTCCTGCTTTCAGAAGCTTAAGTTTGTGTTACATGAACTCTTCCTTTCCTGGTTTTCAGAGCTGTGACTGTGGATGAACTCAGCCTTCTGGAAGAATACGAGGCATCAGTGGGCAACCTTAACTCCAGGCAACCTTAATGAAGTTTCTGGGCAGTTCCTACTAGAGCAGAAGACCCTCTTGCCTGGCCCAGAATGACACCGCCTATGTTCTCAGTCAGAGAATCACTTGGGAACAGAACACAGACCATATCTAGCATCCTAAGCAATTAACAGATAAACATTTCTGCCTAGTCATTTACAGATGTCTATCCCCTTATTATTCAATCACCAGCAAAGGAACAGTCCTCGGCTAGCTTATAGAAAGAGAGCAGTTTACATTTTCATTAAAAAAGATAAGGGTTGATGTAATAATAGAGAATGAATCAAAATATTAAGACAATCACCCCTGCAGCCAATCAACATTTGCCTGCAAATACGACAGGAGGAGGAAAAGAGGGGAATATTTGTTAACGTATTTTCTTCTCCCACTCGGGGATGGGTGATTATTGCTTGACTCAGCCCCTGGGGAGAAAAGCCATTCCACAAAGAAGAAATCATTTCTCTCTCCCCTAGGGATGTGAGGGTTAACGGGGTAACCGATGGGGCTGGAGGGCTGTGCCAACCAGGCAGGAACAGTCCCCCCCCGCTCACTCCCTTTAATTGGTTAACTCTGTACGCCGGGGTGGGGAACGTCAGGCCTGGGGGCTGGATGTGGCCCTCAGCTTGCTTGGATCTGGCCCCCGAGGCGTAGCATGGGGAAGCCCACATTAGTGCTTCAGCCTCCCCACCCCCCAAAGCCACCCACCCACTCACAGGACTGGAGCACACAAAATCTACTAGACTGCCCCTCCTCCCCCAGGCTCTGGTGCCTCCTCCTCAGTCGGGGGCTTCTCGCTTGTGTGCGGCCCCCAACCCAAAAAAGGTTCCCCAGCCCTAGTTTAAATAATACGTTTAACTGGTTAGCCAATGAAATGGGATTTTACATCCCTACTGTCTCCATCTGCACATTCTGAGTCTCCTTCTGGCTGCCATTTAATTCATGGAACCCGTGTCTCTGGTGTCTTTGGTCTGTAGGATGCAACCTTAAACAGCTTACATTAATGAACAGAAGCTGCATTGTGTGTGTGTGTGTGTGTGTGTGCGCGCGCGCGCTTATTTTACATTTCAGCCTGTTGAAATGGTTACAAAAATAACAAATTATGCACAAAGCTAACCAAACTATTTAACTATGGCTTTCTTGTAACTATACATAAAAATGCAAACACATTTATAAAAATTAACGTTTTGTTAATATCACATTTACTGTCTGAGGTTTCCCCTCCCATTTTTCTTTAAATAACCACCCCCCCCCCCTCCCCCCCCACTCCTGAACGGAAATGTTTTGGTTTGCCACTGCTTTATTTGTTGAGGACGAAATACATGTACACATATTAATGAGACACCAACTCGCAGGCAAACGGCTGCTTTGACACGGCCTCTCTGTTACTCGTAGTAGAACTCTTGCTCATTTTGGGTCAAGCACCAGGCCCCTGGTTCAGGCTCCTTCTTTCTCCGACAATCTGGTGCCTTCATCCCGTACCTGACGTTACGGTCTGTGGGGGTTCTCTCTGAATCTGCCATGCCAGCTACCTGCACAGAGCCAGGGCAAACTCAACCGCTACAGTCACCGGGCAGAGGACAATGGTTTCTGGAAAGGGAACAAGGACGGACGTCACAAAACGGTGGGCGAGGTGGCAGTATTGCCTTTGTTATTCAGGGGGCTGACTATGGAGGATGATGAATAGGAAAATTACTGTCAGCTGGCAGCTTTGCCACTGAAGTGGGAGATTCTCCACTGCCTAGTACATATAACAGACCAGCTTTCAGAATAGTGATAGAAATGTAGCCGTGTTAGTCTGGGGTAGCTGAAGCAAAATGCAGGACAATGTAGCACTTTAAAGACTAACAAGATGGTTTATTAGATGATGAGCTTTCGTGGGCCAGACCCACTTCCTCAGATCAAATAGTGGAAGAAAATAGTCACAACCATATATGAGGAAGTGGGTCTGGCCCACGAAAGCTCATCATCTAATAAACCATCTTGTTAGTCTTTAAAGTGCTACATTGTCCTGCATTTTGCTTCAGCTTTCAGAAGAGACTGGAAAGACACCTGCAGCAGCCCAGGTGTGGATGCTTGTTTTGCAACAGAGGAGACTCATGTTGCAATCCCTTCTCCTCAGGCAGAGACGCTCTTGCCCACAGCCCAGGTCCCTACCCACTGGGATGCGCCGTGCGGAAGGCTGTGCCATCATTTCCTCCGGCCAGTTAGTGAATCTAGTCCTGTCTGTTTTTGTCAAAGTGCCTGAGTGTGAAAATAAACATCTGGGGTCAAAACAATCCACTTCCTCTGGACATCACTGAAACATTTCAACGGGTCCTGTTTGCTTTCAACTATTTACCAAATCTGACATCAATTTGCAGAATTTCACTTAATCCCAAACCTCATTTTTTTAGGGCATAAAATCTATTTGTCCAAAAAAAAAAAAAATCAGCCAGCTCCAGTCAAGGCTCTGAACAGGGTCTATCTTATGTCCATAAAAACATAAGAATTGCAAGATTTTACCAGAGCAAGGGACTGATGTAATCCAATATCGGCCTCCAATGGCAAGTCTCAAAGCATAAAAACCCCACAGTAAACAATTTCAGAATAATCTGTCCCTTGGGGAAGTTTAATTCAATGCCCACTTGTTTTGCATTATGCATCTTCTTTACCATTCCTTTCTGTGTACCTTTATCATGTCCCTTGGTATTCTTGCCACCGGCTCACTACTTACAAACCATCTGCTTGAGAGTTAGCCCAGCAAACAGCTGTATGCAAAGAAGTGAAAATGGTCTTTTTCCCACTGGGGAATCTACTTTGAAGGGGGAAGGAAGGGCAGTCTGGACATGTGTGTAATGCAAGGCTTTTTCATTGAGCAGACAGGTGGAAGGAGAAAGTATCTGTCCACATTAGCCACAAAACCAAGCTTTGGAGTTTCAGTTCATTTTAGCTCTGTGTGCAAGGTCCATACACACGGTAGAAGAGTGTTTTCTCCAGCGTCCCCCACACCCCTTCATGTGCATGCATAGTTTGGGGCCCCAGCAATTCCACCAAGACGTTGACAGAGACTGGACCCATCCTTGTGTTGACAGACTCAACTTCATTGCCATCCATGCAGGTGAACATGTACATGCACGCTGTATTTAGGGCTTCGTCACTGGAGCGACTACTCAGGCAAAACTCCCAGTTTAGTCCTATTTGAAGTTAATGGGAACTTTGCTCAAGCTAAGACTCGGGTCTAACTTCACAGTAAAACTAGTCCTGATTACACTGTCCCTCCTTCCTGTGAACAGAAACACTTCTTGGCGCTTATGTACAAATAGTTGCATTTTCCCTATAAAGTCAAAGGCTAAGTGCTGGACAGATTCTCTTTTAAGAGAAGGGCCTTAGTGTTACTTAGCATGCTGACTCCGGGGACTTCCCACTATTGCTTTGTGGATAACTTGCTTAGTGAGAGACGGGGCTCAAAATAATTAAATTTGAAATAACTTCCGAAATAACAAAAGTGAATTAGCGTGTCCCTACAACCGGGAACCCTCGAAATTAGTCCGAGACAGGTTCCGTTAATGTGGACACGCTACCTCGGACTTAGAGCTCCAGAAAGTACTGGGGAGTAATTACTTGGAATTACTCTGGGGAGTAGTTATTGCAAAATAGCAGCAGCGGAGTGTCTACACTACTGCTAGTAAGCGTTATTCCCTGAGGAAAGCAGGAGTACACATTTCAGAATAACGGGCTTGGAAGTGTGGATGCTCCACTTATTATTTCAAAATAAAGGGGGTTAAATATCACCATAGCAAAGGTGACCTTGTTTGAGGTGATATTTGGTATAAAGAAAATATCTTGTCAGAATGTCTCTCCTTTCAGAGTGGAAAGGCCAGAGCAAAAACTGAGGAAGGTTTGTGTACCTGATCTGCTGTGAGTAGAGGCTCTTCATTAATACCAGAGTCATTTTCACTCTTCTCATTGAGCTCTTCCTCCTCCTTCTCGTGGATCTGAAGGAAAAAACCCAAACCAAATTCTGATTGGTCAGCAGCAGGTATATTCCAGCTTGGGTCTTCAGTCTAGCATTGATTCTACTCATACTGTCCCTCTAGAAATCTGAGATGCATCTGAAAATGAGGTTCACTGCTTCTTCAAAATCCAAGTGTACTCAACCCCTAAGCATGTCTGACCATCTCTTGCCTAGGAATGTGGGAGAAGAATGTTGGTAGGAGAAGGGGGACTAACAGAACAAGTCAAAGGTGGAAATGTGTAATCCACCATCAGCTTCAATGCTGGTGGTTTTCTAGGGCTATTAGTTTCTTCTCATATAATGAGTTTTAAAAGCATCTTACGGCTTTGCCATTTCACACAACAGTTTGAAACTATTTCTAAGAAATTAATCTCAAACATCACAAAACGTCCCTATCTGGGAAAGGGCAAAACTTGCTGATCCATGCCTGTTTGGGCACAAAAAGGATTTTGCCTTCCTTGATTCATGACTTCAGTCCTGCAAGCTGCTGAGCATTCTCACCCAAATCCAGCAATGCAATTAAGCATATGCTCAATTTTGAGCACATGAGTAGCCCTATTAGAATCCCTCTGTCCTGAAAAAGCTCTTTGCAGCCCAGAGCAGATTAGCCTGTACTCGCCAGATGGATGGAATCAAGGCCAGGGGTCCTTCTTGACATGGTAATAGAAAGGAAATGCTTTCCGCTATTCTCCTCATGCGAAAGGCAAGTGTATTCATTATTATTTTAGTATTGCAGCACTCGGAGGGCACAGCTGAACTGCAAAAACCCCTGTGGCAGCAAGTCTCAAGCCCTCGTTAATGGACCTGAGACCACAGAGCTTGTGCCACAGGACAGAAAAATAGCAATTTCTACTCAAGCAGAACCCTGGCTCTGAGACCCTATGAGGTTACTGGTGTCCAAGTCAGCCCAGGGAGTTTCCTCCAAAATAATAAAAAGTTCTGGAAGTCCTGGAGTTTGCAATTCATCCAGTCCAGATGCATTTATAAGTAAATGCTTTAATTGGAGAGATGTCCATGTGCAAGCCAAATTCTTGCAGAAGATCTACAAATGGCTTAAATGTATCATGTCAGCTACCCACAACACATTCATTCATACGTCCTCTCACTATCCAAACCCTCAATATCCAGGTCTTTCCACTGAATTTAAGGGTAGGATTGCTCAATAGCATCAACTCTCCAGGGAAGAAGATATGGAAGCAGAGCTTTCTAGCTAGGTTTGACCCAGCTTGCTCGCAGCCATGATTATGCTGCTCTGGAGGAGAAGAGAAGGAAAAAGAGAGACAATTGTTTAGTGCCTACAGTACCTGACAGGGGCAGAAGGGTATGTCAGTTCTCATTCAATCTGACCCCGTGGGGCGGGTCTAGCAGTCAGAACATAACCGGCTTACCAAAAAGTAATTTTTCAAGTTGGAAAAACAAAATCCCCGGAGATGAGGTGGGAAGGGAGAGGGGAGCTGTAATTTGTTCTGAGCTAGTCTAAGTTTCTTCCCTGCATCTCAAAGGGATGTTTTGAAAAATATTACTGAATTTCTTAAAACCAATCTGAGGACTAGAAATAGGGGCAACCCTTTAGGAAAGATTAATGTTCAGTAGAGTAAACTTCCAATAATCTGGCAGTTTTGGGACTCAGGGGGTGCTGGATTATTGGCTATGCCAGAGTACCGGAAGGGAGACTGAGGTGTCTGGGGGGGATGGGGTCAGCGGGGGACTGCACAGCGTGGGCAGCACTCCAGCTGCTCTGCCCGCAGCTTCCCCAAGTCTGCCGCTGGTCAGTTTCAGCAGCGGTGGACTTGGGGAAGCCAGGGGCAGAGCAGCTCCAATTGTCCGGCTGGCCAGAGCACTTCTGGGTTCCAGTTGCTGCCGGACTATCAGGAGTGCTGGACCACTGGATGCTGAACAACTGGAGTTTTACTGTATATTAATTTACCTCCAAAGTGAGGGCTAATGAAGTCCATCTCCCCAAAATGTTAGTCATTTGGGCAATAATTGGTTTTACCGTTATCTTAGGGATGCCCTGATTACTCCTAGGAATCAGCATTCCTAATTTTTTCATATGTGGGGGTATGTCTACACTACCACCTTAGTTCGAACTAGGGTGGTTAATGTAGGCAACCGGAGTTGCAAATGAAGCCCAGGATTTGTATTTCCCGGGCTTCATTTGCATATTGCTGGGCGCCGCCATTTTTAAATGCCCGCTAGTTCAGACTCCGTGCCCACGGCTACACGCAGCACGAACTAGATAGTTCGGATTAGGCTTCCTATTCTGAACTACCGTTACTCCTCGTGGACATACCCAGAGAATTGCTATTCAAAAGCCCAATGTGAGAAAGTGGTCATAGTAATCAATGCCTGGGAGCACTCATTTAACTCCTCCCCCATTAATTTTATGTGCTGAGAGATGTCCAAAAGCTGAATTGTGCTTAGATGAGAGGGTAGATAACCTTAGGCTGTAGCCAACAGCGCAAGCTTGCCTTTATTACATGTACTGACTTGCCTTCATTATAATCTGCCTTTCTTATATTCAGCAGTAATGCAAGGAGCCTATATCCCCTCAGATACTAGCTTCAGCACTTAGCTTAAGACCTGAGGCCTATGAACTCTGGCATAAATGAATGACACAACGGAAAGCCCTCCAATTTGGGAGAGCTGAAAACAGGGTGTGCAAGGGGAGTTCTGAACTTTGTCCAGAATGACACCAGTCAACCACAGGAACACCAGCTGAATCCACAGAGATGAATATTCTGACCACGCCAACCACAGAAACATGAGCAAACATCTGCGGACACCCAACCACAAGAGCGTCACGTCAATAACTTAACATGCATAAGAGTCTGGCGGAGGAGTCCTGAGCCAACATCTGACGAGGTAAGAGAAAGGTGATGCTCAAATAAATCTGTTGGTCTTTAAGGAGCCACAGGACTCCTCATTGTTTTTACAGATACAGACTAACACGGCGACCCCTCTGAGACGATAGTTTGAGATCATTCATAGATGAGCCTATAGGAGAAGGACCCTCCAACAGTAGTTGGGTGAGGGAATGGAGAGAAACCCCTATTGAATCTGTGTGAGTATAATGGATTATAAAAGTATCATTTAAGCCAAGGGACAGAAAGAGAGGGAGGGGCCAGTTTGATGATGCAAAGAAAGGTGCAGGTGATGAGGAAGATGATGGCTGACATTTCATATCATTCTGCTAGGGATGGAGTGAATGTATGGATGTTCAGGTGGGGTGTATCTGCACTGCACTGCACCTCGAAATAAGATACGCAGTTTGAGCTATGCAAATTGTGTATTGTATTTCAATGCTATTTTGAAATAGCTTATTTCATTATTTGGTGCTATCTATACAGCGCCAGATTTTGAAATAAAGCTCTATTCCAAAAGGTCGCTTACTCCTCATAGAATGAGGTTTACAGGGATGCCGGAATATCGAGCCCAAAATAAGAGGCATGCAGTTAAGACACGGGATAGCTATTTTGGGATACTCCGATCTCCTGAAATAGTACCCATGTAGGCCTGGTCTACACTACCACGGGCTGCTGACCTGCATTTTGCACTTTCAGCTACATGAATAATGCAGCTGATGTTGACGTGCTTAGGTCTGCTCATCACAATGTCTTCACCATGGTAAGTTGAGAGCTGATGCTCTTCCACTGACTCGGCTTACTCTTCTCTTTTTGGAGGTGTACCAGAGTTGACGGGAGAGTGCTCAGTAGTCAATCTGTTGAGTCTATGCTTGATGCAATAAATTGACCCCCACTGAATTGCTCGTTGCCTGTGACCCAGGCGAGTAGTGAAAACACGCCCTGAGTTGGAGTGTTGCAAAGGTGTTAATTCTTATAAATACAGAAGAGTTCCTATAACATGGGTGTTGCAACCATGCACATCAGGGTTCCCAAATATATCGTCATTGTAATAATACAGGGTCTAATCTTGGGACAAGAGCCTATCAACCCTTAGGGTACGTCTAGACTACTGGCTTTTGTCGACAGAGGCTTTTGTCGGCAGATACTGTCGACAAAGAACGTCTAGATTATATCCAGTTCTGTTGACAAAGCAAGCCGCTTTGTAGACATGAGAATGTAGACGCAAAGGACAGCATAGATGCAATAACGCCTTCTGTCGACAAAAGGCGTTATTCCTCTTAGAATGAGGTTTCCTGCTGTCAACAAAACTGCTGAGTTCTGTCGACGTTATGTCAACAGAACTTGGCGGTAGTGTAGACGCAGGGATAGTTTTATCGACAAAACCCTGTAGTCTAGACACACCCTTACAGTGATAACTGGGCATTCTTCAGTAACCAATAAATACTACCTATTCTATAGATGGAGTTACGAATCTGGAGCTCAACATGGAACCCTGAACAGTGTAGAGGGCAATCTCCCCCACAGGACAGACCACTCGCCTTCAGTGAAAATCGAAGTTGAAATCCAAAACCCATTCCATCAGAATGTAGTGTCTGTCAAACAGTGCAACTCATCAATAGGGACTACCTCTTCTTCCTCTGCTATTGGTGCTCTTTTCTGGTTCTTTGACATTACTGCTCTTCTTAGCAACGGGGGAAGGGCAGAAATAGACACAGACATCAATAGATGCACACATACAAAACACAACAACAAGAAGGAGCACTTGATGTCTTGCTGATCAGACTCACTTGGCAGGCCAGAGGAATGATAAACCCTCATGGGAAACCACCTCTCTCTCACCGTTAGGACTCCATGGAAATTGTAACGGTGTGATGAGGCATTACTGCGCCAGGAGGGAATCCTCGCTGAGTGTAACTGATCTGTCATTGGGGTTCAGAAGCTTTATACTGGGGTTAAGGAGGCTCTGCGAGTTGAATTGTGTTATAATATTGGGGTACTTGATGTTGAAATTGCAGTTGCACCGGGGCCCAGTGACTCACACTTTGTAGTGCGGACCCTGCACAGGTCCATGCCAAATTATTTCAGGCCCCTAAGCTCTTCCAGACTGTGCCTA